TTTTCTAAGTTTTGGATCGTCTCTCGTTTTGTGTTCCTGGTTCTGATTTTCTAAGTTTTGGATCGTCTCGTTTTGTTCCTCTGGTTCTGATTTTCTAAGTTTTGGATCGTCTCGTTTTGTTTGGTTCTGGTTTCTGATTTTCTAAGTTTTGGATCCTCTCGTTTTTGTTCCTGGTTCTGAGATTTTTTAAAGTTTCGGTTCCTCTTGTTTTGTTCCTGGTTCTGATTTTTTAAGTTTTGGATCGTCTTGTTTTTGTTGCTTGTTCTGATTTTCTAAGTTTTGGATCGTCTCTCGTTTTGTTCCTGGTTCAGATTTTTTAAGTTTCGGTTCCTCTTGTTTTGTTCCTGGTTCTGATTTTCTAAGTTTTGGATTCGTCTTGTTTTGTTGCTTGTTTCTTATTTTTCTAAGTTTTGGATCGTCTTGTTTTGTTGCTTGTTCTTATTTTCTAAGTTTTGGATCCTGTCGTTTTGTTGCTGGTTCTGATTTTTCTAAGTTTCGGTTCCTCTTGTTTTGTTCCTGGTTCTGATTTTCTAAGTTTTGGATCGTCTTGTTTTGTTGCTTGTTCTTATTTTCTAAGTTTTGGATCGTCTTGTTTTGTTGCTTGTTCTTATTTTCTAAGTTTTGGATCGTCTCGTTTTGTTGCTGGTTCTTATTTTCTAAGTTTTGGATCCTCTTGTGCAGATCCTGGTTCTCAGTCTCTAAGATTTGGGGAACCATAGGTTGAAATTTTCCAAACTGACGGCAGCTCATTTTTTCTGTTTAAATATGCAGTAGAGAGAGAAAAAAGCTCTAGTGTAAACGCGCAGTAGTAGCTCTAGTAGCAGTACACGCAGTAGTTGTAGTACACTCAGTAGTAGCAGTACACGCAGTAGTCGTAGTACACGCAGTAGTTGTAGTACACTCAGTAGTCGTAGTACACGCAGTAGTCGTAGTACACGCAGTAGTCGTAGTACACGCAGTAGTCGTAGTACACGCAGTAGTCGTAGTACACGCAGTAGTCGCAGTACACGCAGTAGTAGTAGTACACGCAGTAGTCGCAGTACACGCAGTAGTCGCAGTGGATGCAGTAGTCGTAGTACACGCAGTAGTCGTAGTACACACAGTACACGCAGTAGAAGTGGCAGTATTCTGTGTCTGTAGTGTTTGTTTTGTGTTACACTTATAATCTTCTTCAAAACAGTAAGTTGCTTTGTGCTTTGTGCTTGTCCTTTGTGGATGATGTCATAAAGTAGTAGTAGCAGTAGTAAAAGTATTAATAAAAGTATTCTGTCACTTTAGTGTTTATTTCACTGTGTCACTCAGAGTTTACTTTAAAGCAGCGTCGTGCTTCTCTGATGACGTCATCAAGCAGAGTTCTGTCACCATGGAGACCCAGGGGCATTAGAACATCACGTTGCCACGGCGACAGCTTCTCAGGCTCCAAAACTATTTTAGATTCTAGAATGTGATGATGTCATCGTCCCAGAGGGGAGGAGCTAAATCATTTTCCCGGTGATTACGATGTACTTTTCCATCTGTATTAATATTCGATGGAAAAACATGAACAACTGACTTGTTTTAAGGAGGAGATTGAGAAGGAGAAGGAGCAGGTTTTTGGTGGTGGTGTTTTTGTGGTGAGTGGAGATGTGCTTCACTTCAGTCACATGGATCATGAACAGTTTTCTCTACTTCAGTGCAGAATAGTGACGTTTGTGTCTTGTTGATGACGTGTAGGTGGATGAATGTGACCTGACCGTTCACACTCAAGTCACATGTCGGCCATGTGCTATTAAAGGCTTTGAATTATTTTGTACTTTTTGAGTGCCTCAGTTTTTTTTCTACTTTTTTTTTTCCTACTTTGTAAATCACAAAGTATTTTCATTCTTTTTTTTTTTTTTTTGGATTGTTTGTTTGACAAGTGTCCAATAAAAATCAAATCCATATGCTATATGGATTTGATGATTAGTTAATTAGTTAGAAACAATGTGACAAATATTTTAATCATTTATCTTTTTTTTTTTTATCTTAATATTTGCAAGTAAATCAAGACATTTACACTTTTATGTACGTCTGTCTGTCTGTATTTGATTATTTATTCATTTATTTATTCATGTACATACTTTTGGTTTTAAAACACTTACTGAATTGTTTTATTTGGATCGGTCCAGTAATTATAGAAACATTGAACATAAACCAGAGCTAAACATCTGGAGTCTCAAAGTTAAAAACCAAATTCTACCACAGAATTTGAACCTGTCCCCAGCTCAGATTTAAACAACAGAGATTCAAGAGTGGATATTACGCACTATTTATTGATTTATTTT